TCTCTCTCTCTCTCTCTCTCTCTCTCTCTCTCACACACACACACACACACACACACACACACACACCAAATAATTAAAAAAAAACGAAAAAAAAAACACCAAGTGTGGCAGTGTATATTTCCATGTTCAAGCGGTAGATTCATTCGATTTTGCTCATCCTATCGATTGAAGTGCCATGAGGCCAGCCGCGAGGTTGGAGACTTACCTGTCCCCGGCCAGCGCCAACGGCAGCCGTCTTTTGATCATCGTCTTCTTCTGCTTAAGTGAACCTGGAGGATCGATGAAAGCTCCAAGTGGGCCATTCTTGGTAAGCAGAACTGGCGATGCGGGCTGAACCGAGAGTCGAGGTACGGTGCCAAACTTCGTGCTAACCCAGACACCACAAAGGGTGTTGACGACGAGGAGGAGGAGGAGGAGGAGGAGGAGGAGGAACAGGAGGAGAGGGAGGAGGGGGAGGAGGAGGACGGGCGGAGGAAGAGGAAGGGGAGGAGGACAGGCGGAGGAGGCGGAGGAGGCGGAGGAGGCGGAGGAGGAGGAGGGGGAGGAGGAGGAGGACAGGCAGAGGGCCACGAAGAAAAAGAAGAAGAAGATGGGCGGCGGCAGATGACGGGCAGGCGGTCGCTATGGCGGCGGTGGGGCCGCAGCTGCGTCGACCTGCGGATTCCCAAGGACCTCTCTCTCTCTCTCTCTCTCTCTCTCTCTCTCTCTCTCTCTCTCACACACACACACACACACACACACACTTACCGGACAGATGTGGCGGCCGATGGCGACGTGGCAGCTGATGGCGACGTGGCGGCGGAGTGTGCGCGGCTCCCGAGGGTTCCTTGGGGTTGCAACGACAGGGCGCGGTGACGAGGCCTTGCCATTCACGAAGTCCAACCAAGCGTGAATGGCAGCCCCCCGCCAGCATTCGAATGCTGGCGGGGGGCTGCCATTCGTGCGTGGTTAGACCTCGCGAATGGCACCCCCCTCTCTTGGTGATGGATCCTAGCCGCCGATCTCTGCAGATCGGCGGCTTAGAATAGATCGCCCTAAAAAAGGCCCTGGCGCGGCCTATTTTTGCTTGCGTGTGTTACCGGCTTTGGGGCGGGGAGCCGCCTGGACCGACTCGGCCTCTCGAAATCCCTCAGGCGTTTTGCGCTGGGACCGCCCGATTGCCAACCGGGCGGGACAACCGGCCAGGCGGCCCGGCCCCTTCCTCGAGCGGCCTGGACCCCCCCCAGGCGTTTTGCTCTGGGACCGCCGGGTGGCCAACGCGCCGACGTCCAGCGCCCCGCGCGGCCAGGCGACCAGCCATATCGCCGATTCGATTGGATAATATTTTTTCTTTTCTTTTGTTTTTTTGTTTGTTTGATTGATTGATTGTTTGATTTGTTGATTGTTTAATTACTAAAAATAAGAAAAAAGGTTGGGGGGCTGGGAGGCGCAGAAACCCTGACAAGGGTATCTGCCCCATATTTTAATCGGGCTTCATAACTGGATGAGATGGGTTATCTGCCATAAGTTTATTCGAACTTGACCTATGACTGGGAGACTAAAACTTATTGAACCTAAGACCTGACGCCTGCGGCATATTGCATCGGCAGTAAGAACCGGCAGCGTGACCGGTTTTCTTCCCATATTTGGTAACGCCACACGGACGTACGGTCGTAAAATGTAATAATTTTATACTTATTCTACCGAAAATAGGGACGCGCGGTAGCAGCCGCGCGATTCAGAGCCTATAAGGGTCGAATTAAGACCTCCACGAGTGAAAGTGCGACCCCCTCCCGTAAAGCCACGTCCGACCGATGCGTTTCGGTGAAGCCGGGCGTGGGTCGGCGGTACGCTGGCCAAGGCAGGGCACCTAGCCAGAGGGCGATGCCCCACCAAGTGAGAAAGGGGGTAGGGGTTTGGCTTGCCAACAGGCCCAGGCCTCACGGTCTGCTAGGCTACAGGGCGGCAGCCTAGCAACTGGGCGAGCTCTTCTTATATAAAAGTTGCTCTTATCATTATTGTGATAGGAGTTAGCCCAGTAGGTCACGGTACAGGACTGTCATCCGACAGATACTGAGATCGAATTGGGTTAGCTCCTTTTGGAGCAGCCCAAAACGGTTGGGCGTGGCCGATTTCGATCATGCTATCATCAAGATCGCCCCTGCGTTAGGATGACACGCATAGATCGAGAAATGGTCCAAATTTATTTATTTATTTTTCCTTCTTTCGCACCAGGCGGAGTTCGAGCTCGGGCATGGCTGAAAAGCCACACTAGGATCCACACTAGGATCTGTGCACTGACCGCTGGCATAAGCCAAGACTAAGAAAAAAAAAGATATATATATATATATATGAAACTCCGACGAAACAGTTTGTCACAGCCCCTCGTTTGTTGTCCTTTTCTCTCTCTCTGCCTACGGTTTACCGGGCAGTTCTATTTGTGACGATATATATATATATATGTATGCGAAGCGTCACATGTCGCTCTAGGTAGTAGCAGGGGGAATTTCAAGCCCAGTGCATCAAACAACGGGCGACCGTTTTTTTAAGAAACGAGTTCTTTTGTTCTTTTTTCTTAGATTTCGTTTTAGATTTTTTCTTTAGATTTTCTTCTTAGATTTTATTTAGATTTTTTTCTTTTTTCTTTTTTTTTTGAACTTACCTGGTTGGTGCCCGTTCGTTCGAACGAACAGTGAGAGTGATGTGCCAAGCTGTTCCGTCGGACTTCCACTGACTCATCAGGGGGCTGAGCCCCGACAGTCCATCTAAGGATGGGTTGACTTGTCGAATGCACCTGCCGCGCAATACGGCTTCATTCGGGAGTTCCCATGGTGAGGGTGGGGCGAGTCGGTGTTAGAGAGAGGAAAAAAAAAAAAAAAAAAAAAAAAAAAAGGACTTTGAGGTCGCGCGCCTATATCCGGCGCCGGTTTCGGCCCATATACGGGCGCGACAGGAGGTGACAACCTCTTGAGCCTGACTTTAGCAGGGCCCTGCGAGATGACAGGGGAGGCTGCTCGTTTCCCAAAACGAGTTGCCCCTACCCAAGGAATGAGTAACGGCCATGTACGTGGCCGCGGGGATAGTGTAGATACAGGGGTAGGAAGAAGAAGCAGAAGGGGAAACAGAAAAGAGGGAATGTCACGAATTTGAACGCGACGCAGGGCTAGATGCAATGCTAGAAGCATCTAGGCCCTGACTTGAAAGCAGACTCAACAGTCTGTTTTCAATGGCTTGTTACAACCATTTTGGACTGCGTCTGGCCGCGGACGACGACCAGATGCATTATTAGGGCCTGGAACTTGGTTCCCCTAGGGGAACATCAAGATTTTCAGCCCTTGATCTCGTTTTAGATCAAGGGTCACGTCCTATTCCGAGATTTGACTGGGGGGCAGAGTTGCTGCTCCTTGCCCTCAACTGGCTATAAAAGAAGTCAGCAATTAGCCAGGCAGCATTCATTAGTAGCTAATGTTGCTGGCATTCTACTTGTGTGAATGCTGGTTGTTTGGAGGAGGAGCTGCTGGCTAGAGGTGGAGAGTGGAAGTCTGCAGGGAGGTTGAGGCTGGAGGCTGCCATAGCCACTACCTCTGCGAGGAGGGAGAAGGCCGTTGGGGTGGTGCGGCTGCGGCATGGTTGGAGAAGGCACTTGCCGTCATAGCCACGAGAATTGGCAACGGTAGACAGGATTGGAAC